GTCCAAGTTCAGTCCCGTCAATCGTCCGACCGGCGGCAATACTCAACTCGCTTTTCAATCGCGGTGCTAATGTGCCCGTAATCGAAGAGGATAGCGATGAAGACTGAATAAATATGAACCGAGAGGACTGATTGATGCGATGTTAGCGCAGCGATGGCTTCTCCTTACGGGGATCGATTGGTAGGGCATGCTTCTAGTATGATAGTCCCCAAATCGAGGGTTATTAATGGAAAACGCTCGGAAACGACACAATACCAAAAAAGGACAACACCAAACCGGTGCAATCGCATTCGTAGGAACGCGAACGTCTTAAAAAAACTTGTCCCAAGCGATTCCAGCTTGGTAATCACATTTTTTTTCCGGAAAAATCACGAAAAAGTGACTTTTCCAGACGAAAATCGATCTGTATCTCATGGAGAAAATATCTCAGGACGGTGATTAGGACATGGTTTTGTAGCTCTTGTCCCCAGCTTTCGAACGCCACCAAGCGCGAGTCTCTAGCTTATTCCGTTCTCGCGCAATGACCGTTCAAAGATTTCAGGTGTTTTCAGGTGTCCGAACACACTCTAATTTTTCTTTCGCATACCATTCGGACTTGAAAAGCGATTGAGATGATCTGAGTGCGTCAATATGCTCCTAAAGAGTGGGACATTACGCCACGCAATCCATTTCGAAAATCGGAGTCGTGGCCGAAAACGCCCCCTTACCCAGCTGTACCCTTTGTGCGTTGTCGTGTAGCGTTGTAAGTGATGACCGTGTGTTGTTGTTGTGTAACGTGGTAGATGGTGAACGTTTTGGATTGTACGTGTCTATGTCACGACGGTTGCCAGCCGCCGGTTTCTCCCCTTATTCTAGTGCCTCCCTGTTCGCAACCGAGTGAATGAGTGTATCGCGTTGTGTGTGATGACCGTGTGTCGTTGTCGTGTACCGTGGTCGATGGTGAACGTGTACTGTTGCGTCAATGGGGCATGCTCTACCCAGCCCCATTGTCCATGAGAGTCCGTCGGTCCCGCGGTATCCCCCGCCACGGCCCGCCGACGTATACTCGCCCTCCTCGCATCTTCCATCGCTGTTTTACCCGACCAAATTGCGTCCTGGATCCATCTTCGGGACCCGGGTCGTCGAAGAGACCCCAGATTTTGCCCTTCGGCCTGTGGCGGAATTAATGTGGTCTAGCCCAGGGAATATCATCATCGGTCTCTAGGGCCGCCACCATCACGGACTGAATAAAGCCGCTCTCGACGTTAACCCCTTCGAAGCCTCCCAGCTACGGAGACGAACCCTGTGAGACCTCGAGGCTCACTCGATGTTGTAGAACAAAGGGACTACCGCGGAGCTCTCGCCGAACCCATAAGTTCTGTCCGCTGCAGAAATCTAAGGGGAACGATCCAGAGAAGGGAACTTCATACGAGACTGACAGTGGTAAGCTCTCATAGGCGTCCAGTCATTTTTCTTGTCACAGGCTTTCATTGAAAAGGATGTCAACAAATGCGACTCATGCTTAACATTCGAATCATGGTCGCCCCATAACTAAAGCGAATCTCAGGGCTTGTAGGCCCACGCAGCAATAGGACTAGTCCTCCGGACCGGACCTCACGGGAAAAATATCATTTTTCGTCCTTCAAGATGGACAGCTCATCGTCCTCAGGCGTTCCCCGCGCACCAATAATAATCGTCTGGTACGCTTTGGAGGGACAGACTTTCCCAGGGAATGCATCGGCCTGTTTCCGAAGTATTGATATCAACAAACGGCCCGAGTGGGGTCATGTCATTCGGGAATTTTAATTATTCCAAACCAGCCAGCCGGGAGTGACGGCGCGGTGGAGGCTGGTCGTCTCCCGCCGTTGTTTTCCCGCGGCGGGACCGGCGTCAGTTGTCTAAGCTCTAAGCCATTCTCGGCCTCCGCCGACGACCCTTCTGAGTTGACGGCGACCGTGGCCTATATGATTACCTCGGCCCTCGCTTACGAATATTGACAGGACGTTGGGGAAATTCATGAGCAGCCAGCATTCGTATTTGAGCCGGCGTACCTCCCGGAGGGCAATAATTATTACCGGCCAGCTACGTCAATCTTCGAACTCAGTCGTCGGCGAATGTGCTGCACATTGGACTCGTCATTTTCGGGGTTGGCAATTTTCATTGTCGATTTTCGCGTGATGCGCTGGAATCTGCCTCCTACGGTATTCCTCCATGCGGGATCCGCGAATTAACCGAAAAAGGTCGAAAGCCGGGATCATTTTTTACACAAATCTCGGTTTTTGACTTCAGCTCGACTGGAAACCTTGCAGCCGCGTTGATGTGGCTACGACCGTGGAAGGGACAGGAATAACAATTCCCGCTAAAATTCGAGTCCACGGTGCGGACCGAGGCGAACAATTCTATCAGCAGCCAACGGCATGACGGAAAACGTCACGGAGAGCTCGATCAATAGATTTTCCGAGGGGAACGATCTGCGAATTGGAGCCGACGCGACGCGTCCCTGGCCGTAGACTCGAGACCACGGTTATGATTGCTAATCTTTGCCTCCGAGGGAAAAGCTCCAAAACTGAGAATCTTGGTTCGAACCGGAATGCGGAGCGTGCTCTTTTTGTGCTCCGCACACTCCAAGTGCAGACGACGGTGGTCGTCCATCACAAGCTTCCTATCCCCCAAGGAACGATATATCACAGACGAGCGAGGTCTGAAATGGGATCGGAATTGAATAAAGAAAGAACAAGATCTCGTTCAACAATCTATCACGTGGTATGGCCTTTGCTTGATCCGTCCTCGAACCCTATGATTTTTTCGCAATCAGTGGTTTGACTTTCGGAGGTGTTCGAACTCCCTTCCATCGGATCGTGATCGCCAGTCGAGCGCTCCGCCACAACGCATCCGCTCAAGGCGTCGACTCGATGATATATTTACCGCCCCGTCTTGCGTTTCCTGCCAGGGATTCAGACCATATGACTCGAGAGACACATCATCGGAGCAGGCCAGATGTGGTCGGGTCTCGCACATGATGCGAGGATCCCCTCCCTAATTCAAGGTCTCTCATCAGGCTGAGTAATTCAGAGGATTTCCCCCTCAATACTTTTCCGCGTCAGTATATTGGGCCCTGATCTGTGGTATCACCATTCCATCGATTCAAATGGTTCACCTTGACTTTCGTCGTCATTGACCAGGATAATTTCATTCATTTTAGAGATTGCCCCAGAGCGAATCAGAATCTCACGTCCGGGCAAACCATCGATGAAGTTCTGTACCGGACCTGTCCGCATCGAAGAGCAGAGATGGGAGGTAGAAGATAAATCATTTCAAATTTGTATATTCAGTTTATTACCGTTAAATAAAGTTCTGCAATCCATCAAAATAGTAACATTATATACAGCTGTATCAATTATTAATATATGTTTGTGTCTTTGTCTCTCGACTTAATGTATTTCTCAACTTTAGGCACCTTTTTGATGTTTGACGCTTGCATTTTGTGTAATGTAAGTATATATTTGGTCTTTATCATCCATTCATTCTTCCCGATAGCGCGCTTCCTTCTTTCTCTCTCGTCGCACGGACTTCGGTCTTGTAATGCGTCAATCTTTCTTCTAGGGTTTTCGTCATCGATGTCGTTGTCATTAAAAATATTTGTATGTTTCTTCGGTATCGGTTGACTTCCTCGAACTATTCGACGAAGGCGATCTGTGTGACCTTGCAGGGCAGGTGAGGAAATATGAGTATAACTTAGGGACTAGAAACTCTAGCTAAATGAGCCTGACCTCAATCGAAAGTATGCATAGCTTTGGTCTTTCGGTTTGCGACGAGGATTATATGGCATCGAGGAAAAATCAATAATGAGGATTTCGCCGATGCTCGACCCGAGATAGACAAGGTCGAGCGTTTGACGGCTGGCAAGCAATTAAGTTCAGTTTTATACTAAAACATCGTGTTCGTTACTCCTGCTTCGTAGTTATTTCGCATATATTAAATTATGTCTACGAGAAAAATCAACTATTCAAGTTTTTGTGACTCAACGAGAGGCCGAGGTGTGGCGGAAACTGCGACATGATAAGATATTATCAGAATCGGACGCTCTACGGTTCCATACTCGTGTTTTTGGGCTGTTCGTTCAGGAATTTGGTAGGTCTCTAAGGACGAAAATGTGTTCGTTCGAAAATGTCGTCGTACCTTTGCATCCTGGGGGAAACTACATAGTCCGTCTAGCGAAAAGACCTCGTGCAGCGAACCAGTCGAACCAACGCACCAGCTCAGCGAAAACGAAGGGAATAAGCGCTTTTCACAGGACCAAGTGTGGCGTCCAATATGGTAAAGATGATTATGAGCTCTTTCAACGATATATACTCTGTTCTCTTTACGTTCTCTAATAACTCAAGAATCGCGGCCAGATGAAGTTTTTCATTAGGACATTTCCGACGCATAGCCTGATCGGAGCTTGGCTCCATGTACTGAGCTTCACCGCATCTACCGAATGCGGAATTCGCAGCCGGGACAAAACCACAATATTTTCGAATCTCAATTTTAGGTTTCCTCACTTTGCTTCTTTCGCAGCTTCCCGCGTTCCTCCACAACGGAGTCCCTTGGGAAGCGATTTATCCACATTCACTCAGCGGGTTCTAATGGGATCCTCTACAGAGTTGAGGGAAACAGATTTCCGACCGGAGACTTCGTGCGTCGCGGGGCATCGTACCGAAGTTGTTCAAGGAGTCGCAAGAGGATTAGGTTAATATATCGAGCTCAACAATAATTGAATCCTCTCGCTAGAATTTGGACTTTCTTTACGCACAGCGCGAATGGCCGAGGTGAAACGAAACACTCTGGCCGCGATATATTTGAATAAATACAGCATCGGAAACTAATTTACCTCCCGTAATTTACATCGTAGATATCGCCCGAGCACCACAATCACGAGGCGGATACGACGGATCTATTGTACTAACACTTTCCCATGATGATTTACCTAATGTAACCGCGTTGACGCATCGCGGTCGGCTGGTTCGCTCGTCAACTACCTAATTCGCACTGAAATCCCTCAGCTGCACATGATTCTGATGCGCCTCCGATCGCTTGTGGTATTTGAGGGCGTTCGACGACGCGAAGCCCTTTCCGCATTGCTTGCACACGAACGGCTTCTCGCCCGTGTGCAGCCTCACGTGGTCCTTGAGCGTTGCCGCTCGCGAAAAGTTCTTCTGGCATACATTACACTCGAGATTTCGACCGGCAGGTCGCACTTTCCCACAGGGCACGACTCCGAGACGCATGTCCGTCACGGCGCTGTCCATCAGTATGTCCATCGCTTCTCTCGGATCGAATTTGAATTCTGCAAAAAAAAGCGAGACTTCCTTAGTCGTGAAGAACACCGCGAGTCCACTGTCACGGAAGAGGACGGTTTGGGGTCTGCGCGAAGCGTAAATTGCGCAGAGGAAAAAATCTGATTCTATAGAATACAGCACGGATAAATTATTGAATGGATCAGTCAATCAATCGATCGATGGATATAAGTATATAGTCGAAGAGGAGGACAGATCGAGCGAGACAGATGTATATATGAGAAAGAAGAGATAAGACGACAGCAGCGGATGGGAACGTCATGCACAGAAACGAGGCGGTTGTCAAGTGACCCCGTCTTCTTTCGGAGTCGTCTTTATTGAGTTCCATTAAGCATGAGCATTCAGCCGAACGCCAGCCGCGACAGGCGCAGCCAGAGTGAGAAACAGACTGCTCGCACACGGCTGCTGCCATGGAACACCGACGACGACGACGAGGACGACGACAGTGACAACGAAGATGACGATAGTGGTGAGGCGATGGCCACCCGACGACGAGGACGCGAAACTCCTGGAAGAAGAACACGCTCTTAATGGAAGCTCCACCGTCGTCGTCGGAGAGCAACTACCGAAGACTGGAGGCCCCCATCGAGAGGCGAAAAACACGCTTGTCCGAATTATCTCGCTCAGTCCGTGAGTTTCTCGTTCGGCTCCTCATAGTCAAACAATCACAAACACACAACGTTCGCTCGCCGTTCGGCTTAGGCAGCGAACAGAGCAGCAGCAGCAGATAAACAGCAGATACGCAGAGAATCATCAGCCACCGACAGAGAGAACCGACACGAACGCAGTGTCAAATGAACGAACGAAGCTCCTCTTCGTCGACTCTCCGATCTCGTCCATCCGTCCGTCAGTCCGTCCGTCTGACCGTCCGTCGGTCCATCAGTGCTTTCGTGGCAAGGGTCCGCTGCGGCTGCTGCCAGCGTACTCCGTCGGGCACAAGACAGCAGCGTGACGGTAACGCCGACGCTCCGAAACGTTGCCAAGATAACGAGTGATATTTTCCCTGGCCTCTCCTTCTCCTCTGGCTTCTTCTTCTTCATCATCTTCATCATCTCTCGTGGCTAGCAGAGACAAACTCGCGCCATCGGAGACCGATCGTGAGAGGTTCTGCCCCGTCCGCTCTGAAAGAAGATCTTCTAGAGACATCTACGACCTACGACGTGAGCCGAACGATATGAGAAGCGCCTCAAGTTGTCTCTCTGAAGCTGAATCTTCACTAAACCAGTCGGGGGGGTTATCTAAGATTAGGCGCTCTTTCTGAATAGGGATAAAACGAGAGTTCGTCAGGTTTGCCGAGCGAGTGTCGGAGAGTTTCGAGAGATAAGATTCGGTCGTCGCGGTTCTGAAAATGACGCCGAAATAGAGAAACTCCTCTATCCGATTCTCGCTCCAAGTGTGAGTCAACTCTAGAAATCAGAATCCAATCTCTCGGAGAAGTCCGAAATCCGTCGAGATCAACGTTTGGGGCTTCTCGCGTCTCGACGTCCTGAGTCACTGCGGCGTCAGAGCTCGGGGAGCGGATCGATCCAGCGCTGAAATAGATGAGAGAAAAACATTAGAGGTTCGGCGAAGAATCGGAGCCCGTCGCATCCGGTTCCTTTCCCGATGCGAACGTCAAAGGCGAGCGGGGAACGGAGCGAAACTTCCCGCACTGATCCACGGCAGGCGGAAAGATTCCGCCGATTCTCCTAAGAAGCTATCGTTCGTCGCCCGTTGTTTTGGAAACACTTCTGCCCGATGTGAATTTCTGCGCAGTCTCGAATTCCCCTCCTCCGGCGGAACAGATCGCTAGCTTCACGATGTTTTCATGGGTATTCATTTTGATTTTCTAGGATTCGGAGCCGATCTCAAAGGCAATTGCGAGCAGAAGTCCCCTGTCTAAGAGGTCGTTGATCGATTCAGAGATTCTCGAAATTGCGACAAGAGTCATGTGACCGAATCGATGATTGACGAAACTCGAGCGCTCTTCAGCGGACTCGAATACGGATGCGAACTCGCAAGAATAATAATTCCAGATGAGACGCACGAAAACATCACGTGCCATCGGCGTAGGGATCTCGGTGTTGCGCATCATAACGCCACTGATGGCGTTTTTCTCAGTCATCTCAGCCGTTTTAACTGCTGCAGCGCCGAGAACACGAGAGAGCAAGCTCCACAAGAAGGAATTAGACGAAGAGCAGCGACCGCTTCGCCTCCGTCGCTTTTTATCGGTCGTCATCGTCGTCGCTGCCGCTGCTACCGACGTCGCGGTCGACTCAGTCGTTGCGGTCAAAAACAATACTGTCGTACTTTTGCTTTAGAAGAGCACGCTCACTCAAAAGTTCAGCCGACTTCACGAGTTTCGAATCAGTCGAGAGAAATCGAGAGCGTCAGCCTGCAAGCGCTTTTCCGCCGGAGAAAAATCCCTCCGCCCAAACCCGAATGGTGAGCGCTCGCAGATGACCGATCGACAATGGTTCGACGCTCTTAGGCAAAAGGAAAGATTATTTTTCAGACGACGAAGAGGAAATTCGCGAAAACCCCCGAAACCCGCGAATGGGGACAATGTCCTAATTGTCCCCGGGTCTTGGGAGCCGAAAATCGAGTTCGAAGTTCCAACCTTGACCGCAGTCTATCGTCCCATCAAGGGAAGGGACTCTGCGGCGGAGAAGTTCTTTTAGAGTTGACGCGTGTCGACGGAAAATCTCGCAGCGGTCGACAATTGTTATCACGAGGACGCCGTTCGCGGTGCGCGCACGCTTCACTCATGGAAATTTCGAAGACCAGACATTCACAGTATCCCCATCCATAGATATACGATTTCACCGAAACCTCACACCGTCCGTAGATCCACACTGTCCCACGAAAGCTTGACGTCGATAGACTCAACAGCAGCTCCACACCGTTGCACATCGAGACAGCACTCCACTTCAGTTCGAACTCTTCGATGCCAGCGGCCGTTTTCCACCGAGCACGAGTTGACACTTCGACCGCGGACCACGAGCTCAAGATCGCGAGCCGTCGAAGAGCGGCGGCCTAAGGCTCTTCGTCGTGGTTCCAGCGACATCTTCCGACTCACACCTTGTTGTTGGTGTCGCTCAGTTTGTCCGTTTCGCCTGCGTTTCTTTTTCCTGCCAAGCCCATCGACTTCTTCTCGCTTTGCCGCTGCGGGTGCTGTCGCCGTTCGTTCATTCACTCGAGTTGATGAGAAAGAGTCGTCCTGCTGCTGCTGCAGCAGCGGCCGCGGCGTCGGCAATTCGGTTCGTCCTCTGTTCTCTGCACAAGCAGCAGAGGAGAGCTCTTCTACCGAAATAGCTGCCGAACACACTCTGGCTGGATGCTGCGGCTGTTTAGTTCGCAGACTGGCAGCAGGCCGTTAGCCAGCCACCAGATAGGCAGGCAAGCGAGTTGGCAGGAAGGAAGGCAGGCTGGCAGGCAGGCCGGCCGGCCGGCAGGCACCATCGTCGACACAACAACGCACGCACGCACCAAATATGGAAACTCCTCTCGAACGAAAACACTCTCCGAACAGAAGATGAGGACGATCAACAGTGAGCAATCTGCGTTTGTCGCTCGCATCTCCTCCGTCGCCGCCACGGTCGCTTCTTCTTCTTTCAGCTCACCGGTATCTCGACGGTAAAAGGCGAGCACAGGAATACACTCTCTCCCTCGTTGACCGAAATCATGTGAAATCAGGAGAAAACTCTCTCGACGGAACAAACTCGAAAGCTCAACGTTCTGCATCCGAAATGCCTCCTATCCACTGTCGCATCGCACTATGAACTCACACCGCCATGTCTTCTGGCCGCTTCACGCCGGTCCCGGAGTCCCCTTGCGCACGGAATTCCGACGTCAGCCCGATCGAGTTTTCAGGAATCACGGCAGACGAAGGAATGTGGTTATTTTCGTTCAAATCACAAACTCCTGAGCTCCCGAGCATTCGGAAATGCCCATCGGGGTCGGGAAGAACTCGACCGAGTCCTAGACGAATTCGTTCCCCTTCCCCACATTCCCCTGGCTTCCGGAGCCGCCGGAACGTTCGAATTCACAAGGCTGATAATCTTGTGTTTGACACGGGAGCGCATGACGTGAACGATCATTTTACTCGACCTGGTTCCAACGCTTTCTTGGTTGGAATCGGGCGTTGGTCGCTTCTCCGAACGAATCGGCCGGCGTACAGTCCTGACTCGTTCGAATTCCTGGTTTCCTCATTGGTGAACTTAGTTTCACTCCCTCAGGTCAGCTTGGCAATCGAAAATCGATCTGTTCGGACCAGAGCTCTAACGAACATCCCAGACAGTCGAAGAGCTCACGACTGACACTCACGGAGCACGTCCCGTTCGTACACATGGTCATACTCCGATCCAGAGAACAGGCGGCGACGTTGACTCCGAACGAAGGAACAGATGATTCCACTGCGTTAGCGTCGACGACAGCGAGAGCAGCCCGAACGCCGACCAGTTCCGCTGCGAGTCCCGTTAACGCCGAGGAGCCGACGAAGAGAGCAATCATCATCATCAGCGCAGTCATCTGTACTCACGACAGCTCTCACCCACCACCACCAGCACCATCGACAGGGCTCTCCGATAAGCACGACAGCTTGATATTTCACTTCGTCTTCCGGGAACCGTCAGACGTCATCACCGGGCGGTCTCCCGAGTGCGCTGAGCGGGCGGAAGCCGATTTCCCGCACCGTCAGAAATTCAAACGCAGAAAAGCCGAGAGCACATCGAACAAACTCACCCAGCAGCGGCCGCCGAGTTGACTGGCGAAGCAATATGGCAACCGCCGCAGCAGCCAGCCGACGACGACGACGACGATAGAGAGAGGACACTCACTACAGCAGCACATACAACGGCGGCGGCGGTGGTGGCGGCAGCAGCACTGCTATTCGCTGCGCCGCCGTTCGTTCGAAGTCTCCTTAACGCTGGTAATGGTGCCGCTGGTGCTGCTTACTCGATCGCCAGCGAGCTCACTCCCTCCTCTGTCGTTGCTTGCTTCGCTCGGTCTGTTGCTCGCTGCTGGGTAGGTCTCGTCGGCGGTTGCCTGCTGCTGCTGTTGTTCTGCTGCTGCTGCTGCTGCAGCAGAGTAACAGCACTGGCGGCGGCAGCGTAGAGAGCGCTCGCTGCTGCTTCAGGGTGGAGTAATAACTACTACCACCAACATCGACAGACGCAGCGGCAACAACGCTGAAAGAGTAGACGAACCGACGGACGGACCGACGAGCACATCGTCGAGCGAGCGAACGAGCAAGGAAGCTATTGAGGGGCCCTGACAGACTCAGAAGCACAAGAGGGGACCCCAACACTCTCCCAGCTTATGCCGAGAAGATAGACAAGCGAACGAATAGCGAAGACGGTCTGCGGGTTCGAGAATGGACCGCTACGGAATTCGGAACTGGCAAGGAAGGGATGTGTTCGTCAGAAGGAAAAGGAAAGACCTTGCCCGCTCGAGCTCTGTCAGAAGCTTCTGAGTTCGTTTGAAACCATGAAATTTCCCGAACTCCCTGATCGATCCAAGGATCAGTAACACGGGATTCCCCCAGCAAAGACGGTTGTGACAGTTTGCCGCTCGATAATTCGTGGGGGGCTGTTGTCTTGGGAATGGTCAATGAGGAGGTTACAGGAGCCACGTTTTCTATCCTCAGTCCCGATCTAAACGGAAACAATTCTTTGAAGGGAAAAAAAGTCGCGGGCCGACCAAATTCGTAACAATGCATCTGTTTACATTTGTACGTCAAAGAGAGGAGCTTACCGAATTTTCAGTGAGAGATTTCGTGAGGAGCGGATGGAATCCTTGAGAAATCCGGTGCCGTCGTCCGGGACGCTCCTCCAAGGCACTGCTTCCCGAGATTCCCGAAATTCATCGGCGGACTTCGACGCGGACCTCAGTTCCGTAAGGAAACTTCCAGTCCGTTGGTCTCGAGTCAATCCTAGATCACAATGCCGAAGGTCTCTTCGTGTTTCGAGACCGAAAATCCATCTGAAGGCGGGGAGCTAGTATTTGTATTCGTCATTGCGGGCAGTAGGACACGTCAGAGACACGAGCGCACATTTTCAGCAGTTTGAAACAA